TATGGCATCACTGCCCTCCAGCCTGGGCAACACAGTGAGACCCTGCTTGAAACAAAAGAGCAGAAAAAAAACCGCACGCAGACACATGTGTACACATAGAAACACATATGTCAACACATACACACAAGCATGGACGTATCTATACACACACGTGGACACACAAACGCAAACACACGTACACACGCAGAGTGCACACAGACACCAGCACATAAAGACTCAGACAAGCACACAGGCACTCACATCTCCAGACCCTCCCTGCCCCCACCCCCCTCAAGGGAGCAGCCTGGCCTCTTCAGGCTAGGGGTTGAGGGTGGCTGGCAGAGTGCAGTGTGGGCACAGGGCCTGGCTGAGGGGGGCCTTCCAGCCGGGCTGGGGCACCCGGGACCTGTCCTCTGACCCCCGCACCAGGATGGCTCTCCCTGATTTTCCTTAGAAAGAGTCCTTTGATGATACTGTGGCTTGATGTTGAGACCTTTCAGGAGACTGGGAGTGCATCTGCCAGAGGAGGCCTCGCTCATCGGGCTCATAGACTGCATTTGTGCCAGCTCAATACTCAGGGCTGCCCAGAAAGGTGCCTGGCAGGAGCGGGCATCTCACAGAGCCCACGGGGCCCGGGGGTGTCTTCCTGCAGGTTCGAGGCTGCCCTGTGGGGTCCTGCGGGGACCCCCGTCACAGGAAGGGGCAGGCATTTGCTGACAGGTTCTGGGCGCGACAGCCCTGGGCGGGACTGGCCAACAGATGTTTCCTTTCTGTGTCAGGGATCATGGGATTTGGAAAAACTGGCTCAAGTGTCAATGTCAGCTTCACTGGTTCATTCAGTGGACATTGGTTGGGGGCCTACTGGATGGAGGGCAGAAGCTGAGCCGGGAAAACAGCAGCAAGCTGGCCGGGTGGGGTTGTGTCCTCGCGGGAGGCCGGCCACTGTCTGGGAACCACAGGAGTACAGAATGGCTGAGCAGCACTACCCTGCTTGGGGGAGAGGCAGGTCCCGGGGGAGAGGCTGGCCCTGGACGAGAGGGAGGTCCCAGGACTGAGGATGAGTGCAGGGAGAGCCCTGTGGTTCTGGGGAGCAGGGGCTCTGTGGGTGAAGAGTGCACCCCTCTTTCAGTCCCAGGCAGCAGGGAGGGAAGGTGTCCGCTTCGCAGCTGTGTTTTCCTGTTTGGGGAAGAGGCTTCACCACTCCCCATGCCTTTCTGTGTTGCTTGAATTTTATAATAAGCCGGTGTCACTTCTACAACCTGCTACCTTTTTTTCTCTTCATTTTAAAAATAAAAGGTGTTGTTGGGGTGTGGTGAGTCACACCTGTAATTCCAGCACTTTGGGAGGCCAAGGTGGGTAGGTCATGAGGTCAGAAGTTCAAGACCTGGCCAAGACAGCAAAACCCATCTCTACTAAAAATACAAAAATTAGCCGGGTAGTGGCGGGCACCTGTAGTCCCAGCTGCTCAGGAGGCTGAGGCAGAGAATCGCCTGAGGCGGAGGTTGCAGTGAACCGAGATTGTGATGGGAACCACCATTGCTCTCCAGCCTGGGCACAGAGTGAGGCTTCATCTCAAAAAACAAAATAGGTGTTGATATTTATGAAAAATTTGGAAGCTACAGAAACTGCCGAGAGATGGAAAAGGCTGGTCTTTAGCCACCCAAAGGCCCTTCTTGGAGCTGCCCCGCCCATTCCAAGGGTCACCTGCACACCCACCCGCCCCGGAGGCCCCAGAGCGAGTCCTTGGGAGCTGCCAGAACTGTGCCTTCTGTGTGTCCTGGGCTCGGTTGGAGGTTGGAGGTGGGGACTATGACTCTGCCCCTCCCCCTGGGGTCCTCGGAGGCTGCCCGGCCCCAGCACTCTTGAGGGGGTTTCGCCAGTCACTCACTCATTCCCTGCATGCCAGGTGCTTGGAGAGACCCAGCCCTTGGCGGGGATCCGGAAGGGAGTGGTCGGCAGACTCCAGAGCACACACCCTGCGTCTGTGGCCGGGCGTCACAGAGACACCACCGCCAGCTGGCGAGCCTCAGGAAGCGCCCTCTGCCTTCGGGGGGTGGCCTCAGGGGTGCAGGCTGGGGCAGAGGACCTGGGAACTCCCCAGTGATCTGCCCATTTGCCCAGAGGCGGGTCCCAGGGACTGGGTGGACCGGGCCTTCGTTTTGCAGATCTCATGAGTGGAGGGGAGGCCAGAGCGGGCCCTGGGGGAGGCTTTTGGGACTTTTCCGGCAGCCCCTTTGCCTGCAGCCCAGGGCTGGAACCTTTCTGAACCTGCATCTGCCCCCACCCCCCTCCACTGGGCTTAGGGCTGAGCAAAGTCCAACAGTGGGGAGGACCGTCCACCGAGGCCGCCGTCTCCCTCCCAACCACACGGAGAATACAGCCCTGCCCCCCACCTGCCCTTGTTGGGACTGGGGCTCTGGCCACAACCCTGGGACTGGCTTCCGGGACAGAGACTCCCCTGCCTGGCGGCAGGGATCTCCTGGGGAGGCCAGTGCTGAGGGCCTGTCCCAGGAGGGGTGTCTCTGGTTAGAAAGGGTCCTCCGGGGGCGTTGGGTGGGGCAGGCCCAAGGACAGTCCTGAGGGTCAGTCCTGCCTGCTGTGGGCAGTGGCATCAAGGACCGGGCCTTGCTGCCTCCTCGGATCAGAACGCCAGCCAGAAGTCCTGTGGGCGCCAGCGACCCCTTCCAAGCACAGCCCCACCAGGGCGAAACCCTGCTCTTCCCTGCCCATCAGTAAGTGCCCAGGCCACGTTGCCAGGCTGGACTCCAGACAAAGCCATGGCTCTGGACATGGGGCCTGGAGTGGGGGAGGTGGGCCGACAGGTGTCTGGTTCCGGGCTGCCGCAGGCGCAGATTCCCGCTCATCGCTGCCCTGCCAGGCCGCTCCGTCACCTCTACTCTCTGCCCGCTTCATGTCCAGCTGATGGGCATGGGGCTTTGTGCCCGTGCTAGGGATACAGAGGGGGTTGTCCCATGGAGGCGGGGGAGAGGAGTAGATTGCTGAAATGTGTATCAGGTATGCTAGGGACTCCAAGAAGTGTGGGTGCCAGTCCAGCAGATCTCTGCAGGCAGGTGCTCCTGGGAGAGGAGTGGCTGAGCAAAGGCCCGGAGCCTGGGGCAGCAGGGAGGCCGGGAGGCCAGGGCAGAGGAGCAGGCTTTCCCTCCAGGAGTGATGGGAACCACCAGGGGGATTTTGATGACCCAGAAAGATGGACTGGGTGCCACCAAGGCGGGGAAGGGGTTAGCTGAGGCTGGTTAGGAGGACACCTGGGACTGGTGAGCCTTGGTCAGGAGCTCAGCAGGGCCATGTGAGCTGGGGGTGTGAAGTGGTCCAAAGGTTGAGGCCAGGGCTCCACACTTTTAAAAGCTGCAGACCGAGGGAAAGGGAGGGAGATTTGGGGGCTAGAACCAGGGGTGGGGGATGTGTGAGCCTTTTCAGTAGGGGTCTGATAAGAAAATGTAATCCCAGCACTTTGGGAGGTGGAAGGGTGAATTACCTGAGGTCAGGAGTTTAAGACCAGCCTGACCAACATGGTGAAACCCCATCTCTACTAAAAATACAAAAATCAGTTGGGCGTGGTGGTGGGCACCTATAATCTCAGCTACTCAGGAGGCTGAGGCAGGAGAATGGCTTGAACTCCGCAGGCAGAGGTTGCAGTGAGCTGAGATTGTGCCATTGCACTCTAGCCTGGACGACAAGAGTGAAACTCTGTCTCAAAAAAAAAAAAAAAAAAAAAAAGAAAGAAAAAAGAAAGAAAAAAGGAAAACGTCTGAGAAACCACCCCTGTACTTAAAACGTGGGAGTGGCTGGTGGCAGGAGAGGTAGCCAGGGAGGGGCCGGCTTGGCAGAAGCTTTGCTGAAGAGGAGCAGAGATGGGTCGGTGGGCGGAGGGAGGGTGCAAAAGGTGTTTAAGAAGGAAGGACAGCTTCTTCGGAGGGCAGGGCGATCTATCCACCTCTAGGGAGGACATGGGCTCTGTACCCACTGGTCTCCCCAGGGCCTGGCATCGAGGTGGCGCCAGGGGGCACCTTTAGGATGAAAGCAGTGGCTGTGCCTGGGTGAAGGGCGTGAGGGCATGGCCTGAGCTGTGTCTGGATGAGGGGCGTGTCCACCTGGTGCTTGGGTGAGGTTCTACACGCAGCACATCTAGGCTTCAGTGGATGGAGCCAGGACGGGAACACGCGACCGCATTTCAGGGGAGAAGCCCAGGAGGCAAGGAGCTGAGCGGCGGTGGACGGGCCTGGGGGGCGACTGCCCAGATCAAGCCCCCCAAGTAAGGCTCGAGAGGCTGTGGCTTCAGAAATGAAGTTCCTGGCGACTCGCGCCAATGCCGTGTCCTTGACCTGGGAGGAGGAGCGAGCGGGAGCACTCCCGAGTGTGGACGGCCCTTCCCTCCAGGGGGCTTTGGGTTCGCCGGGGTCGGAGCGGGGCTGGGGCCCAGAGAACCCGGGTCCGAAGCCTCCCGTGCGTGGCCCTGGCCGGGTTCTCCGCCCCTCGCAGCTTCAGTACCGCCCGTGGGGACCCCTGGACGGCCGGGCCCTCAGGCTGGCAGCGCGGGCCGCAGGAGTTTCGATTCGGAGGGTCTGGGCGGGGCCGAGAACTGGCGTTTCCAGCGAAGTCCCGGGGACGCCGCCTCCGGGCGCGCTTCGCCGAGGGTCCCGCGCGGAGAGCGCCGCTCGGTTCCCCAGGCCGGGGCCCAGCGGGTTGCCGGGCAGAGCCGGGCCGCGCGCGGTCCCATTGGCGCAGGTGCGCGCGCCCCGCCCGACAGGTAGCCGCCCGCGCTTCGCCATTGGGCCGCGGCCGGGGTCCCCCGAGGATTGGCCCAGGTGGTGGCCCCGCCTCGCCCTCATTGGCCGCAGGTGCCACCGCCCGCCCCGGGACCGCCCGCCCTGGGGATTGGCCGCCGGCTCCACCTCGGTCCGCCATGTTCGGACACCGCCCCCGCCCTCGCCCTCGCCCTCGCCGGACGGTCCGGCCCCGCGCGCCCCCTCTCGCCCCGCGCGCCCCGCTCCTACCCCGCGCGTCCCGCCCGCCCGGGCGCACCCCCGGCCCCGCGCGCCCCCGGAGTTCCGCGTGGTTGGCCGGCCGGGCGCCGTCGGTCCCCCTGCGCGCTGCCTTCCGCGTTCCGCCGCGGCCCCTCCGGGCGCCCCCGCCCCGCCGCCCGGGCCCCGCGCCATGGCCGGAGCTCCCGGGGCGCCGCGCTGACGGCGGCCGGCGGAGCGCGCCATGCCCAGCAGGACCGACCCCAAGATGGACGGGAGCAGCGGCCGCGTCCGCCTCAAGGCGCACTACGGAGGGTGAGGCGGGAGCGGCGGCGGGAGGGGCGGGGACTGCGCCGTCGGGGCTCCCGCGCGGAGGGAGGGGAGGCGGCGGCGGCGGCGGCGGCGAGATCGCGGCGGGCCCGGGGCTGTCTCGGGAGGTCCCGCCCCTCCCGAGCGTCACCCGCGGGCACCCGTGGGCAGCGCGGGGCCCCTTCCCGGAGCGGGGTCCCGGCTCGCACCCGCGCCGCGCGCCCCTCCTCTGTCTCCGTCGGGGACGTTTTCGCCGGGAAGTTGGGCGGCGGCGTTCAGGCCAGAAACCCGTGGGAACGAAACGTTTCCATCAAGTTGTGCAAACGCCCGGCGGGTTTCTTAAAGTCGGCGTTGTCTCCGCTGTCTCCCGTTGCTCCCGGCCGTGGGTCTCGCTTGAGGCCGAGTCCGAGGCCCCGGGGCGCGGACGCGGTGGCTCCAGTGCAGCCCCCGGCAGGGCTCGGGGGCCGGGCGGGGACCGCGGCGTTTGGGGGCGACGGCGTGGCCGAGCTGACCCGGGGCCGCTGCCTGGCGGTGGGGGCTGGGCGGGGTCGGAACCGGGGGCTCCTGGACGCCGGGCCTCAGCCTCCGGGCCGCGCTGCGGGGGCGCAGGGGGCGCCCGGGGGGCCGGGCTCAGGCTCCGCCGAGGCACCGCTGCTCCCGAAGTGCGGGCGGTGGGGAAGGCGGGACCCGCGAGTGTTCCTCCTCGTCCGGCGCGCGCTTCTCCAGGAGCCTCGAACTCGGACCTCGGCTCCCGCGGGGTGGCCGCTGCTGCCTGTGGGGGAGGGGGGCGGAGTGCGGGCTTCGGGTTTCAGGTCTCACTGGGGGGTCTTGGGGGTCCCGAAGGCCTTCTCCAGCCCGGCGACTCGGCTCCCGCGGTGGCGGCCTGACCCCCGAGGCAGGGACTGGCGGTGGGGGGAGGGGGGAGACGGGCGACACCTTTCCCGGGCCACGCCCACTCGGGACTGTGCCCGGGAGGTCTCTGTGCCGCCCTGTGAATCTGAGGGGTTTAGCTCCTGGCGAATCTTGTCTTGGGGTCTCAGGTCAGGCCTCGGGGGCTGCTTGGCCGCTGGTTTGTTGAGGAGGCTCAGCCGTCTCTTCTTCGGGAAGGTTGGGGCCTGTGCAGCCGCCCTCTGGCAAGCACTGGACCCCTTGGGGTGCAGTGGGGGTGAGTTTGGTGCCAGAGCTGGAAGAAAGGGATTTCTGGGGGAGGGACCCCGAGGGTTCCGCGGTGACCTGGAGGTCACCGACTTAAACGTGTCATCGTTGAGGTCCTGGCTGGCGGATTTGTCCAGGGACCTGGGCTTCTGTCTCCTTCCCAGCCTGGAGCCACCACACTGGGCCGCAGGGGATTGTGCGGGGGTCGGGGCGTCCTGGGAGGGGGAGGTCCACACCCGCAGGGCTGCAGGGGCCTGGATTTCGGGGCGGGATTCCCAGGACCAAGGCTGGGGCAGTGCCCCCAGAGTTCTGGGCCGGCCCGTCCTCCCTCTCCCCTGCTTCGGCCCCTGGGAGCACTTTGGTTGTGGAGCGGGTGTCATTCCACCCGGTGACTCTGGTTTCCCACCCTTTCCTCTTCCCTCCCTTCCGGGACTCGCTCCCCTCTCTCCCCACCCCCTCCTCTTCCTCCCTCGTTCCCTGTCGTTTTCCCTGCTCCCCTCTCTCCCTTCCCTGCTGCACCCCTTCCTTCGCCTTCCTCTCGGCAGCCCCGCCCCCACTCCCAGGGTGCTTCTCCTGTCGGGCTCTCCACCCTCTGACCAGTCCTCCTCCCGTCTCCCCTCCCAGGCCCTCCTCGTTTCTGCTGAGAGTGTGAAGGGCCCTGCTGCTCATGCCCTCTGGGCACCCCGTGCCTCCCGGGGGACTGGCTGTGGGGTGGGAGACCAGGCCTTAGGGCAGGTCTCCAAACTTTTTACACAGGGGGCCAGTTCACTGTCCCTCAGACCGTTGGAGGGCCCCCACATGCTGTGCTCCTCTCACTGACCACCTGTGCCCCTTCCTGAAGTGCGGCGGGGGGCCGGATAAATGGCCTCAGGGGGCTGCAGTTTGGGGATGCCTGCCTTAGGGCAATGACTCAGTTCCAGAAAGCACCTGCTGGGATCAGCACTGGGTTATGGAAAGCCCTAGAAACTCCATCCCTGGGTGAGAAGCTACTGTCCTTGACACGTGGAAGATGAGTCTCTAGAAAAAGCAGGAGCTCTTCAGTCACCCCCATGGGGCATGGCCACCCCGTCATCTTTGCCCATCCCCGCAGGGCCCTCTGGGTACACTTGAGATCCAGTCCTCACCCCCCCCCCCGCCCCGGCCATGGCAGTTACTCGAGGGCCTGAGGGGTCCCCAGGCATCTGTGTTTTCCGGCAGTCTCAGGTGACCTGGGCCAGGCTCCCAGACCGTCTCAGGTGCCTGCCCTACTAGGGTCACAAACACTGGTGCTGGCTCTTTCCTCTTCAGCTCAGACTTTTTTTTTTGAAAGGGAGTCTCACTCTGTTGCCCAGGCTGGAGGCAGTGATGTGGTCTCAGCTCACTGGAACCTCCACCTCCTGGATTCAAGCGATTCTCCTGCCTCAGCTTCCCGAGTAGCTGGGATTACAGGCACCCACCATCATGCCCAGCTAATTCTTTGTATTTTTAGTAGAGACACCATTTCACCATGTTGGCCAGGATGGTCTCGAACTCCTGACCTTGTGATCTGCTCGTGTCAGCCTCCCAAAGCGCTGGGATTACAGGTGTGAGCCACCGCACCCGGCCCAGCTCAGCCTTTTACCAAAACTTTTGTGTTCAGGGAGCTTCTGTGTGCAAATCCCAGAGCTTGGTGCTGGGGCCAGGGTGGGGTAGTTCAGGCCTGGGTGTTGGGTCCTGGATGCCCCTGCCAAGGGGCACAGAGCAGCTGTTTGATTCAGGATTGGGATGGGGTTGGAGGTGGTGGCCGGACACTTTTCCAGGTGGCCTTGGGGTTTTACTGGAGCTGCCCACCTGGCCTCAGATTGGCAGGAAACAGTGGCTTCAACCTGGGGGCAAGACTGTAGGGGGAGGGGCATGGAGCAGGAAAAGGTCAAAGGTGAAGGGCTAGCCCACTCCCCCTCTGGAGTTTCTGGTGGTTGGACTGGTGGATGCCAGGTCAGGCAGAAAGCGTCGACGCCAGCTTGGGGCGACCCCAGGGTGACGGGTGTGTGACCCCCCTATTCCTCACTTTTCTAATCTGCTGTGATGCTGAGGGAAGTGTCGAAGACTGAGCCAGGTTGGTCCCTATTGGGGGCAGGGGCTAGGGGGGTTTCAGCAGGAAAGGGTGGGTAGCTGGGGTGTCTTCCCCCAACCCCAGGTGGCCAAGGGTGACTGTATGAGGCCTGTGGGCCAGAGGCCTGGGCTGCTGTGCCTGGCTGTGGACGGATCCTGTGTTCTGTTTGCACTGGAGCTCTTGTCTGGGATGAGAACTTTGTTTCTGGAAACCTGTCTGACGAATTCAGATCACCCTGATAGGGAGCCAGGCGTCAGCGGAGAGCAGAGCCTCCGTCTCTGTCGTTCGGAATGTCTCACAGCCCTTCAGGCTTCTGGTTAGAGGTCCCGAGCTCTTGCCCTGCGCTCGCTCTCGTGGGTGTCAGAAAGTTGTAGGTTTTCCTGCAATTTCAGTGTGTTCCCTGAGGGTGTGATTCCTGCTCAGAGGTTCAGGAAACACCAGCAGGGACCATGGTGGGCTCCTCCTTCCACAAGGGGGGTGCTCCATGCAGGGAGGAATGGGGGGGCCTTGGTTCCCTCAGCGGGGAAGGCCAGCCCTCGAGGGGTGCCCGGGAATCCCTGAGCTTCTGCAGCCCCTGGGGCTGGGGTCCCGTCTCTGGCTGAATAGATAAAAGACAGTGACACACTGGGACTCGGTTTTCAAAAGGCAGTGTGCCTGGGTTTCTGTGATAGCTGCACGAGGGACCCAGTCCCCTGCTAGAGTCTAAAGAGGGGCCTTTCCCTATGGAATCATGCAATCCCCGGCCATGTCACGCCGGAAGGTCTGGCTTCCACTACTGGCACCGTCGGGATCTGGGGGGAGGTCTCACTGGGTTCCTTGACCTTCAGGAAGCCGGCGGGCCTGAAGTGACCCGGCTGTGCCCACCCCCGGGTTCACCTACGTTTGGGTGAACTTGAACAGGTGCCCGAGCAGGTGCGGTTGCCCGGCTTCCCACAAGAGGGCGCTTTCTCTTCTGACGTTTTTGGACTCATTCTTTCCAGCCAGGTGGTAGGAAGCTCACGGTGGTAGTTTATTTAAACTATGTAACATTATAGTTAATGGTTCTCGCTTGTGTGTGTGTGTGTGTGTATGTGTGTGTGTGTGTGTCTGTCTGTCTGTCATATTGTCTTTGGGGAAGGTTTCATTGATCTAATCAATGATTTGGTTGATCAGTAATCATGATTCAAGTTGATTCCAATATGCCTCACGGTAACAGGCGCCCGTGTCCCCCCTGCCCCAGGGACATCTTCATCACCAGTGTGGACGCCGCCACCACCTTCGAGGAGCTCTGTGAGGAAGTGAGAGACATGTGCCGGCTGCACCAGGAGCACCCACTCACCCTCAAGTGGGTGGACAGCGAAGGTAGCCCTTGTCCCGTGTCGGTCAGTGTCCTCAGCCTCGGGGACTTTGCCGGGAGCCTCCGTGTGCAGAGTCTGCTCAGCCTCTTCTGTGGGGAGACTTAAAACCCTGAAATGAAGCTTGTTGAAGCCAGAGTTTCCCCAGCAGGGATGGTGGGAAAGAGGGCGGCTGAAAGTGCTTAGAGCGGACCAGGGCCCAGCTGCCCCTCGGAAGGGCTGTGGTCACGGTCCCCAGGAGGGCGCTGCGGGGGGTCTCCCTGGCCCACCCTGGGCAGTTCCTCACCCCCTCCCCGATGGTCCTTCTCACGTCCTGGGCTTTTCCATAGGGGCCTCCGCAAGGCTGGGCTCTCGTTTTCTTTTTTATTATTCTTCCCAGCCTGTTCTGTCATACGCAGGCTTTTCATTTTCTAGGGACCACGGGGAGGGTGGGTGCAGCCAGGGCCTGCGGGCTCCACCTCCTCTCTCTCTCAGTCAGACACACATCCTAAAAAACGAGGGACTGGGAGACGTCCAGAGAGACCCCTTTCTCCGGGGACCGACAGGCAGCTGTTGGCTGCGGACACGGCCGTGCGGGCGGAGCCCGAGGGCGCTCCTTTAGGTTGGGTGCAGCCCTGCAGGGCGTGGGTTCTGTACACTGTCGTGTCCCTGTGTGGCCGTAGAGGGTGAGGAGCTTTCCCTCTGCCCAGGAGAATGTCCTCAGACCTGCTCGCTGCTCAGCCCTCCAGGCAGCGCCCAGGGCTGCGGGTAGACCGACTTCCCTTCCCGGGCGTAGACGCTGTCCCGGCACGGGGGCTGGGTGACTCCCGAGTGTGGACGGCCATCCTTGGACCTCCCGACCCTGCCAGGAGGTGGCCGGTCTGAGCAGTGAGACTTTGCCCCCAGACTCTTGTCCAGTGTGCTCAGGGGACCTGTCACAGCCCCCTTTGCCTTCGGGCCTTCGGTGACCGCAGCACCGTCTCCTGCCCTGCCCAGGTGACCCTTGCACGGTGTCCTCCCAGATGGAGCTGGAGGAGGCCTTCCGTCTGGCGCGTCAGCACAGGGACGAAGGCCTCATCATCCATGGTCAGTGGCGGGGTCTGTGGTGGGCGGCTCTGGGGGGCTGTTCCTGGCCGTGGGTGTCTGCCAGACCACCTGGGGGGTTGGAAGCTATATAGGGTCATGGTTTAAAATCCCATGATGCCAGAGGCTTTGGGGATGTCTAACGTAATGCCATTGAGTTTTTTTGCCCTTTGACATTTTATAAACCCAAATGTGAAGAGCCCATAAGCCACTCAGGCTCCAGTGGCCAGCGTGGGGCCTGCGGTGCGTGCGGACAGTGGGGACGGCCCCACCAGCCACCTCGCCTGCCCGTGCTCTCTGGGCCTGATTGCAGGCTCACAGCTGTCCTCAGCTTTAAGTTCGAAGCCCCATGATGAGCTGATGCATGGGAGGTGTGACTTGTCATTTCCCCTGCCTTTGGGGCACTTTAGCTGCTCGCAGTCCTGCCGGGGGTCTGTGAGGCGTCTGTGGGGCCTGCTAGTGTGGTTCCAGCAGCTGTGGCCAGCCAGCCACGTCTGTGTCCACTTCTGGCTGGCCATGGACCCCTGAGCTCGAGATGGGATGGGAGCTGGGGCCGCCCGCAGTTCCTGCAGTCCGCCATTCTCCTGGGCGCCAGGCTGCTTGGTTACAATACTTAATCTTTGTAGTGCTGTACATCCATGTGGCTTTAGATTTTAAGCTTGGGCCGAGTGCAGTGCCTCATGCCTGTAATCCCAGTGCTTTGGGAGGCCGAAGTTGGGGGAATCGCTTCAGTCTAGGAGTTTGAGACCAACCTGGGCAACTGCTGAGACCTCCATCTCTCCAAAATTTTTTGTTTTTGTTTGGTTTTTCTGAGTCTCTGTCCCCTAGGCTGGAGTGCAGTGGCGTGATCTCCGCTCACTGCAACCTTCACCTCCTGGTACAAGCGATTCTTCTGCCTCAGTCTCCCAAGTAGTTGGGACTACAGGTGTGTGCCACCATGCCCGGCTAATTTTCGTATTTTTAGGAGAGACGGTTTCCTCATGCTGGCCAGGCTGGTGTCGAACTCCTGGCCTCAAGGCATCCTTTCATCTCGGCCTCCCACAGTGCTGGGATTACAGGTGTGAGTCATTGTGCCTGGCCAAGTTTTAGTATTTCCTAAGCATCTATTTTAATAACTTACTGTGGAAGTCCAGGGTGTATGTTAAAATAATTTTGAATTCAGTCTTGAATGTAAGGAAATGGAGTCCAGTGTGCTTTTAAAAGTCAGCTTTGAAGGTAATTGTAATTCTTCTGCATTTTTGTATCATTTAAGCACACGAATCACTAGCTTCCTCTGACAGCTTTGCTGTCCAGGTCCCGCTGATTGCCTTTTACCCTAAATTTTTCCGTGGGTTTTAAAGTCCTACGTAATGGAGCCAGGCCTGTGTGGACACACTGGGTTTCACGTCCCCCAGGAGTGGGCTCTCGGCAGTGCCACGTGGGTTTCATGCGAAGTCGCACGCTCAGTGCTCAGCCTGACTGGGGCGGGACTTCCGTGGGACCGTGCTGAATGGCGGCTGCGCGGCCTGACCCTCTGTCTCTTCCTCTCTCATCCAGTGTTCCCGAGCACCCCCGAGCAGCCAGGCATGCCGTGTCCGGGAGAAGACAGTGAGTACTGGGGTTGCCTGTGCTGGTCTTGTCGTACCAAGGAGGTGGCAGTGGTGCTGTCTTTGGAGGTTTGCCCTTCTGGAGTGTTGGGGTGTGAGCAGCCGTGGTGACCGCGGCTGGGGTTTTTGCTGCTGCCCGTGCGTGTTCTGGCTGACGGCACCGTGTGCGGAGAACTTGCTTGGCTAGTTGGTGGCATGAGAAGTCCAGGGTGCCCCACTCTCTCCCCAGGAGGGAGAGGCCAGGTGGGAGGCTGGGCACTGCTCCCATGTGGCTGCCTCAGCTCATGACCACCCTGGGCCAGCTGACCGCCCTTCCTGGCCCTGCTGGCCCCTGAGCTGGGGCGGGGTCTCCTTTCATTCCAGTCTGGCTCCATGGGGAGGAGAGGAAGGAAAGTGAGTCCCAGGGGCTGTGGCTTCAGAGGCAACTTCCTACCGCACCCCGGAGACCGCTGGGCCCTGAGCAGGTGGCCGCACTGCCCTCGGGCCGTGCATCCCAAAGCTGTGTTTGGTGCGTTCCCCTCCCCAGCATCTGTGCCACGCCTTGTTCGTTGTGTGGGCAGGAGCTTCTGGACCGAGGCCACTGCCTGTCCGGCGCAGGGCACGTGGGTCAGTGTCCTTTGGACAGGGTGTCCCCAGCCCCTGCTGCCAGGGTGCACTCCCAGCTGGCCTCAGGCTGGATGCTGGGTGTCTGCTGTATTGGGTGGGAACCGGGGGTGGGAGCAGATTCAGGCCAATAGGGCGAGTGGGCAGTCGGGGTGAGAGTCTCGGCTTCCAGCGAGAAGTTGGGGCTGAACAGAGCTTTGGTGGCACTTAGCCTGAGGGAGGCCCCAGGGGCCACAGGATTTCCACCATCTCCCTGGGGACAGGGTGGCCTTGCTTCCCGGTTCCAGGTCCTCAGTGAACAAGGGTCCCTGAACTGTTGCTGGCAAGGCCGAGGAGACATCTGGAGGGGGCCCTGGCAGGAGTAGAGCGTGTGGTCCGAGTGCTGGACCTGCCCAGGGCCCGGCAGGGAGGTGCGGTGTGGCCTTGGCAGGTGGACGCCTGGGACGGATTTGGGAGCGTGGGGCGTGTGTGAGGAGGCGGGGGCGATGCTAGTTCCTTTGTTTAACTCTGGTTGTGCCTCTTGGAGACGGGTACTGCCTGAGCCGGGGAGACGGGGACCCCACGTGTCCCGATGGGAGGCAGGTGGAGGGGTGACCACGCGTGAGAGGCCCATGGCACGGGGTGGGAGCGGCCAGGCAAGGGTGCAGGTTGGAATTTGGGGGCCGTGTTGAGAAGGCGGTGGAGGGATGGGGAGTCCCAGGAGTAAGGGTGTCCTGGGTCCCATAGTGCTAGATGGAGGCCACACAGGCTGGAGGTCCAGGAGCAGGGGTGCTCGGCCCGTGTGTCGTTTGGCTTCAGGTGGGACTGGGGCCAGCTGTGAGCTGCAGGGGCCCTGAAGGGGTGGGTCAGGGAGAGTTTCAGAGGTGGGGCTGTTCGCAGGGTGCGTGGAGCAGCTCAGGGCAGGGCTGGGTGGGAGCAGACCCTGCGACATGAAAACCCACCTGCATGAACCCCTGACCCTGGGAGGGGAGGGTTTGGAGACAGGTGGTCAGATGTGGGGCTTCAGGGCCCTGCTCTCCCCCACAGCTGTCCTAGTGGTGGCCTTTCCTGGGACCCTCCCTCTGGGTACCCATGCCCCACAGACCCTGGAGCACGAACCCTGGGAGGACACGGGTCACCGTAATCATCTGTGCGTCTTTACAGATACAGAAACTCGTAAATAAGACAGGCGCTGCCCGTGGGTGAGACGATGGTTGTCCCCTCCAGAGCCCCCTGTGGCCTCACGCCGCTCTCCATAGGAGGGGACCCGCAGGCCGTGTTTATTTGTACCTGGATGACTTTTGGTGACAGACTGTGCTCATCTGTCCCACCTGTCCCAAGGGTGTCCCTGTGCGGCCCGTGTAGCCCAGGAACGGGGAAGCCTGGCGTGTTCCTGCGACGCATTTACCTTTCGTCTCAGCGCTGCTGGGGTCTGAGGTCTGCCCTTTCTGCCTACGACCTCAGTGGCCTGTCTCTGCCCATGTGGGCGACCTGCCGGCCTCGTGTAGGGAAGGGAGGCCACATTGGCCCGGCCCTGCATTGGCAGAATGGGACGTTGGGGTCACAGGATGCCCAGGGGCCTGGGGCTCTGTAGGGGGTGTGTCATGGGGGTGGCAGCTGAGTCACTGTGGGGAATGCGGAGAACGTGGCCAAGCCCTGAGGGAGGCCCTCCTGGGACGCGTGAGTAGGTCCTTGAGATGTTGACCAGGGGTGGCTCCACGGCCTTGGGGGCCCCTCAGCCTGGCTGGGGACATTCCACCGGAGCCTTGGGGGGGAAGTCTTTGTCAAGGAGGTCAGAGGCGGGTGCTGGGGGTGGGGATCCCTGCCCTGCCCTGCCCCGTGTCTGATGTCCACCCGGATGTGGCGTGGGTTTCATGGCACTGGTGTCAGGAGTGTGTGTTCTCATACTGCACACACGGCGTCCCAGGCCACCAGGGCTCGGGGCTGGCACTCTCCCTGACATCCTACGCTTTTACTCTGACTTCGGCGCTTACTTCAGGCAGGACACTCTGCTGTGGTCACCAGTGGCCGCTGCCCCGGGCTTTGTGGTTTTAGCGTCTGTGGGGTGTTGACAGGTGTTTTTGACCTCAGGCATCACTGTCCAGGGTCGGTGAGAAGGGTCAGACTGGGAGGTGTGGATGGCGGACGGAGCGCGCCGGAGGCGGACAAGGGCAGGCCTGCGGCTGCGCCATGGGCCCGTCAGCAGAGGACCTTCCAGCACATTCTACATGTGTCTCTGTGAATTTAATTGGTTTTATAGATTTTTTTTTTTTTTTTTTTTTTTTGAGACGGAGTTTCGCTCTTGTTACCCACGCTGGAGTGCAATGGCGCGATCTCAGCTCACCGCAACCTCCGCCTCCTGGGTTCAGGCAATTCTCCTGCCTCAGCCTCCTGAGTAGCTGGGATTACAGGCACGCGCCACCATGCCCAGCTAATTTTTGTATTTTTAGTAGAGACGGGGTTTCACCATGTTGACCAGGATGGTCTCGATCTCTCGACCTCGTGATCCACCCGCCTCGGCCTCCCAAAGTGCTGGGATTACAGGCTTGAGCCACCGCGCCCGGCCGGTTTTATAGATTTTTAAAAAAATTCTAAACCATGCTTAAAACTACCACCTTCCTCTATATGGTCTCAAACCCAAAATATATTCAGAAAGGAAACCCCGAGCCCGCCAGCGGTCACTCCCTGTCCCTCTCCAGCCCTGGCCCCGTCTGCGGTCACTCCCTGTCCCTCTCCAGCCCTGGCCCCTGGCCGCCTCCACTTGGCCTCTATCTCCGTGGCCCTGTGGATTCTGGACGTTTGGTGTCAGTGAAATCCTGCATGTTCTTTTCCCCGCCCGACCTTCCTAAGGTTCGTCCATGCTGGGGCCTTCTTAGCACTGCAGGTCTCTGCCTTCTGTTCTGGTAAAATGTACATAACATCTGTTTTTGCCATCTTAACTTTTTTTTGGGAGGGGGCACGGTGTCTTGCTCTGTCACCCGGGCTGGAGTTCAGTGGCTCGATTGCGGCTCCCTGCAGCCTCTGCCTCCCAGCTCAAGCGGTCCTTGGCTTCAGCTTCCCAAGTAGCTGGGATCACAGGTGCGGGTCACCATGCTCCGCTAACTTTCTTTTTGTACAGACGGGGTTTTGCCATGTTGCCCAGGCTAGTCTCGAGCTCCTGGGCTCAAGTGACCTATCCATCCCGGCCTCCCAGAGTGCTGGGGTTACAGATGTGAGCTACTGAGCCCGGCCCCGCCTCAGCCATTTTTAAGGGTAGAATTCATCGGTATTCCATACTCGCTTTGCTGTATGGTCATCACCACCGTCCCTCTCCAGAATTCACTCTTCACCTTCCCACACAGCCCCATCTCATGAAACACTCACTCCCCATTCTGCCTCCCCAGCCCCCGACACCCACCCTTCCGCTTTCTGTTCTCTGAGTTTGGTGACTCCAGGGGCCTTTCTGCTGGCCTGTTTCATTCCGCACCATGTCCTCGGGCTGCGTCACGTGGAGCCTGCGTCAGAATCTCCTTCCTTACGCCCGAATCACAGGCTGTTGTCTGGGTGTATTTCGTTCGGACACTTGGGTGGCTTCCACGACTTAGCCGTCGGGAATGACGCTCCTGTGAGCACGGTGCACAGTGACCTCTGGAGACCCTGCCTCCGGTGCTTCTGGGTGTAGACCCAGAAGCGGGATTGCTGGATCATTGGTCGTTCCATTTTTATTGACTTATTTTTGAGACAGGGTCTCACTCTGTCGCCCAGGCTGGAGTGCAGTGGTGTGATCACGGCTCACTGCACCCTCTGCCTCATGGGCTCAAGCAATTCTCCTGTCTCGGCCTCCAACGTAGCTGAGACTAAAGGCATGTGCCACCATGCCCGGCTAAGTTTTGTGTTTTTTGTAGAGACAGGGTTTCATCATGTTGCCTAGACTGGTCTTGAACTCCTAGGCTCAAGCGGTCTGCCCACCTCAGTCACCCAAAGTGTTGGGATTACAGGCGCGAGCCACCGTGCCCGGCCGATAACTCGTTTAAAGAACCGCCACGCCGTTTCCCACAGTGGTTGCGGCGTCTTCCGCTCCCCGCGATACCGCACCTGCGAGACTGTCCCCACGTCCTGTCCAGCTCTCGTCATTTCTGTTTCTTGATGACAGCCGCCCCAATGGGCATGGGGTGGCACATCATTGTGGTTTTGGGTCTCACTTCCCTGATGATAAATGATGCTGATTCATGTGGCTGTTGGCCATTTCTCTCTTGCTTTTTGTTTTTTTGAGGCGGGGTCTTGCACTGTCACCCGGGCTGGAGTGCAGTGGCGCGATCTCAGCTCACTGCAACCTCTGCCTCCTGGGTTCATGTGATTCTTCTACTGGGATTACAGGTGCACACCACTACACCCAGCTAATTTTTTGTATTTTTAATAGAGACAGGGTTTCACTGTGTC